GATAATACTTCCTCCACCTTTGGCTGCTCCTGTTTACAGCTCAGAAGCTAATCTGAGGAGCGGAGGAGAGCAGCGAGTGTCTGGGAGGGGGCAGATGAAGAAAGGCCAAAAGAGCAAACAAGTGCAGACAGCAAAGATGAGAGCAAGAGAAAGCTGCTGACAGGTGCAGCGAGGGGGGGATTAGTGAACCTACAAAATGGGAATTATTAGGAACTACAGTGCAGAAATATGTTGGGGTGGTTGGAGGAGCACCCACGCTGGCAACACAAAATATTGACTATTCATACATGCGCCAACACACCTCCTGAACTAAAACCATTATAAGGAGTGCAAGATGGAATCCACCAAGGAGGCCTTTTGTCACCTGTTATGTTTTTTATTTTCCAATTTCATCATTTGAGATTGACTGGCCTGAAGTGTTCGTAGTCGTGGTGGCTGGATATTAAAATGAAGGTCAGTTACTTTTCAAATTGTGACAACTAGACCCGTTCGAGAACATGTTCCAGATTGTACGCAATGACTTTATATCCTTTATAGAAAGCTGATGCCCCTCACCATTGGTATAACTATTCTGCTTATTCCAACGGAGGGAACTGTTTTATCTATTGACATTATGGCAAATACTTAATACTTAATTTTGATGATACTACAGGATCATATTGTGTCATTTAAAAATAATAAATACAATTGACAGGAAGAAGCCTCTTGCAGGAGTCAGAACTAGGCTTGGGGAGACAGTGTTTCAGATTTATGCAGCTAAAATATAAAACAGTTGTGCATTAAGCTGTGCATTTACATCTGTGAAATGTAATCTTTACTTTTTTTATGCACTCTGGCTGTTTATTATATTTAATCCCGTGAGTGATTATAATGTTTTAAGGTTTTTAATGACTTTTTTTTCCTCCCCATTTTTAATATTTCTTGTGATCTTAATGTTTGCTTTTAATGTATACATAGATTTTTAATGATTGTTTATTATTTATGCTTGATGGGATGTGGGTTGTGAGGCACTTTGTGTTGCTTTTTGTTGGAAAGACGCTCTAAGAATAAAAGTTGATCGATTGATTGAAGTTGCAGACATCACCTTTGGCTTGAGATTGACCAGAATGCATAAGAGAAGGAATGTAGAGTAGTTTTGGGATTAAGTCAATGAGCCAGACTGATGAGTGATGAAAAATATGCCTCTGGTAAAGATTGTAGAAATATGATAATTGAGAGAAAGAATTGAGTAGATTATTTATAGACCAGATGATACTTGAGAATACCGCTCAATACGTTAGGACATAGATTTGACTCAAGTGTCTCTAATGTTGTAAGAGTAGCTCACACAGTTCTATCTAGGTCGCTTAAGTTTGTGGTCGGAACATCTTGAGTGTGGCAACTGGATGTGGGCCATAGCAACCTCACGAGACGTTAACAAAGATGTGATGAATGACTTCAGGTCCAAAGAAAGGAAGTCTTCTGCAAAATGACTGTTAGAGAAGCTTTTTATGTCATTCACCACCAGCCAAGTCTGACTATATCTAATGATAGCCCTCAGCAAGTAACACATCTGCATTGCTTTGGAGTCTCTGTTAAAAAGATAGAAAATTGCAGTTTGTGAGTCTGTTAGTCACAGCTGCGTTTCTCTAAATAATTACAGTGATTACCTTCACACAGAAATATTCATCGTTGAATATTTGCAAAAATATATTTATTTTTAGAAACCATGTAAAATCAGAAAAATCACTGCGAAACCAATTAAACGTCATCACAACAAAGTGCGGATATGGAAACACATAAGAGTAAAATTATTATTATTAAAATGTTTGTCTTTTCTGTTACTTCCACTTAATTCCTTCATCTGTCACATGCAGCCTGAGCAGAAACACTCTGCTGGCTCTACTCTGAGCTCCACATCTGTAGGTAGTGCCCAGCCACTAATGAGTGTCTGATTTCAATTGTAAAAAAAAAGAGAAAAAGACAATACATGTGGCCATCAGTGATAATCAGGCACTTAGAATAAATGAGAAAATATACTATTACTTAAAGGCATGTGAGTTGCTCTAAAAACAACTAAAGCTCTGGGCAATTTATCTGCGTCTGTTTAGAATCATGTGTTTGTCTAAGCAGCTGTAGAAAATGCATAGCCTGACTCCAGACCGGACTTTAGCCCCGCCTACCAGCTAAAATGCTATGTAGGCGGAGCTAAAGTTTGGTCTAGAGCCAGGCTAGGAAATACGCTCTCAAGGGACAAAAAAGAAAACGTGGCTTGCCAAAAAATTGAAATAAAAGCTATTCTGTTTTGGGCAAGATGGTGGTTAGCGCTTGTCCTTCACATCAAGAAGGTCCACAGCAAGAAGGTCCACCTCCACGCCTTTCCGTTGTTGGGTTTTGAATGTTCTCCCCATGTCTGCATAGCTTTCCTTAGGCTGCTCCACTACCTACAACTAAAAACATGTACTATAGGTGTGGAATGCACCTCCGGTAAAGCGACCCCACTCCCATTTCTGTTTGAAGTGAGAAACAAATTGCCCAAAAAAACCATTAATTGAAAAGCACTTTGTGACTCTGGTCTGTCAAAGGCGCTGTATAAATAAAGACTACTCACTGACTTACTTCTTCATAAATTCAAATGTATGAACTCAAGCCTTTTCTGCCCACAATTTTGCACGTCGATTCACAAACATCTTATTCCCGCCAATGACTGCACCACTGGCAGAGGCTGAAGGCTGCAGAGCTGGGACTGTGAGCTCCATGATAAGGGCTTATTGTGTGGGTGTGACACAGTGCAGCTCTGTCTCTACAGCACTTTAGGAAGAGCCATTCTCCAGACTCTAGGCCTGTCTTATTGTCTACTGACAGAAGTGATGGGCCTTTACTCCCCTAATATCACCCTCTGCTGTACTCTGGCAGAAAGCATTGTCTTAGAAGCACTGCCGCTCGACAGACTCAGCACTTTCTGACATCAAAGTGGAGATCACAAAAGAAAAGGCAGGTTTTTAAGGAGACCAGCTGTAAAAAGTATAGTTTGGTCCCATCAGTTTCAGCAGATATTCAAATGTTCTCTCAATATGATGCATTTGGCTAAACCAGGCCTCGCTCAGCAGTGGGGGTGGTGCTTGAGCGGGGGGCTGTCAATGTATTGAAGATGAGTATAAATGAGTTTCCTCTGTAAGATGGATGTGTCTTACATTTCCTGAAAAAGGGAAAGAGAACGTCACAGAGAAGAAACATGTTGAAAGCATGTGGAGAGCTGTCCATGGTGCTGAAATGCTACGGCTGCAATAGTTTAAGCCTTCATCATTATTCAGGTCTAATGACAATCATAAGTAATAGATGGTGGACATTTCAGAAATAAAGTATGCATTTTAGGAACATATAAGATGAAGATTGGATAATATTAGTAAGGTGATCGTTAGAGTTTGATTATCAAACAAAAAAATAGCGAAAAGCATGGCCAATTTAACTGGAGCACCATTACTTGCCCGTATTACTGTGGCCATGCCCTGATCTCTGATGTGTGGTAGTGACCCCACTATAAAACCAAATATATCATGTTAGATTAATCTACTAAATACAAGCCATGTTACAGCTTTTAAATTTGAGGGGTTTTTTTGTTGAATAAAAAAATGTCTTATGCTGAAATAACATGATAAGGATACATATAGTGAATACAGCTGGTAAATTAAAGTTTGGGTGACATTTGACATTTGTATATACACACAGGAAGGGATGCAATATGTAACTGCTTCAAAACTGATGCCATGTCTACCTCCAACATGAAGCCGACATCCAATTAGGAACCGACATTATAAATGTTACCAAACTTTTAAAGTTTGAAAAATGTGGCAAGGTCCCAAATGATTTGGAAACTATCCAATAACTGTACATCATGAACTCTGTTTTGGTAAAATGACAAGTCTGACCTCTCACTGGGCTTCAAGAGGAGTTACTTACTTTGAGTGTTATTACATTTTACTGAACGCGTATAAAAGATACATTCCTGCATTATTCTGAACCAGCGTTTACACACTTTACCCAACAATAACTTTGACACCAGGTCCAACACATTAATCTACTGACAAATCCAGGGCTGTGTGATGTAGCGCCCTGACGCCCGCAGCAAGAGTTTGGGAGCTGCTTGTCATGTTCTCACCGTGTTATTTGTGGCAGTTGAAGGCAGCTTTGGTGGAGCCCCCAGACACAGCTGAAGAATGTATTGGCGGAAACAAAACTATAAATTATACCCCAGGATCCACTGTGTCACACGCACTACAAGAAGAGACCCTGAGTTAAACTCTCAAAGTCAAAACCCTCTTTGCTGCTCTCTTGTTGAAAATAGTGAATGGTGTAGTACAGGTTTGATCTTATTTACTGGGATATGAAGCCATGAATGAGGGTATTGAGAAGTGAGCATTATACTATCTTTTGATTAGTCAACAAGCAACTCATGGACACTGAGAATTACTACATTCAAATTCTCCAATTATCTTTACGAGGTGAACAGTTATAGCAGAAATGTGTTGTTTAAGACAATTGACAAGTAGTTGGGATATACAGTACATGCATATGAGAGGAAATAGTTGGTGTACCTTTTTTAGACTCAGACTGATAAAATAATGAAGGTGAATAAGGTTAAAATGTCTCTGTGTGTATGCAAAACAATGAAACCATGAATCACATTGAGGCTTATATTACTCCGTTAATTAAAGCTGGGGTGACTCACTTATTGTTTTTCATAAATGATCCACGTTCGGGTCAACAAGAAAGTAAGTAAAAGGTTGAAACTGGTATATTTTGAAATCTTACTTAAGACTATTATTGATGCACAGAATGAAAACCAGCGAATAAAACTGCTATGAGAGAGGAATAGAAATAAATAGAAAGTTATTTTTTTGATTTTTAAGTAAGTTAAGTTTCAATTTGTGAGCTTCACTCTATAAATTGTGTTCTTTAATAGATTCAAAAACAACATTCTTGCACACCACAAAACTAAAACATCGGATATCAGGATCGGTTCATTCCCAGCGGCCGCAACAGCTGCCATGGAACAGACAGGTGGTGACTTGGCAGCCATTTTCTGCCCAGAAACACACAATCAAACCAATACGTTCACACAGAAGGTGGGGGAAGTTGGTTAGGGCGCAACTCGGTGGTGATGGAAACTGCCAACAATTCAGCATATCATTTTTTTTTTTTTTCTTTACCAAACAATTGGAATTCATGCATTCATTCGTTTGAAAGGAAAAGCTCAGTTGGCCTGTAAGTGTGTTGCAATCTCATACCCATTTTGCACCTATGGGGGTGTGTCCCGCAGGTGACATCCTTATTATTCCCATTGGAGTAATGGTGTGTGTCAGGAATCCATTATTGTAGCCTGTGCCCTGCTGCGATGCTCCCAGCCCACAGGACACACTACATTTCCTCTCATTTCCTGGACTCACATCTCAAGGCATCACATTCTCCCCAATCATTTTTCACTCACAAACACGTTCTGTTTTTCTGTTAAGTGCCTCTGCCTTAAAATAGCTTTTGGGGCTGTGAAGGGAATGTGGGCTTGAGTAAAATATGCAGGATTCTTAATGCAAATTCATTCCAGGGCATAGTCTTGTCCTGATTACATTTCATCAGATCTGGAAAAAAATACAGGAGTCTATTTTCCCAGCTGCCAGGAGGGATTAGGAGATTAATGTGGAGCCGTCATTTCCAAACTCTCTTCTGAAGTATTGATTTTTTAAAACTCATTTTTCACAGGGTAATTTATTGAGGGCCCCACTTGAGCTGAGGTTTTGACCCAGAAATATTTGAACCACTTTTGATTAAGGCGAAAAAGATGTGTAGGGAAGAGTTTGTCCAGACATATAATACTGAAAGTACTTAGTCATTCTTAAAGTTAAGACTTAAATTAATTTTAGTGTCATTCAGGTTGTTTTGGATACATGAGAAATTCTAGTGAAGAATTAGCAATGTCACGACGGTTACTCTAACTTAAATCTAAAAAGAACAGGGTCAAAATATCCTGATGCAAGTCAGAGTATGTTGTTATTTTCTATTTTTCTGTTTTATATTGTATATACATATCTGCTTTTACCTTGTACAGCACTTTGTGATTTTTATCTGTGAAAAGTGCTCTATAAATAAAATTCACTTACTTACTTTCTAAAGGTTGCATTGGAACAACTGCCTCACACACAAATCATGTATCAATATAAGTACTGTAAATCTAGACAATTGAGAAAAAGCAGTAATTAAACTCTTCACACAAATTGAGATGATTTTAAGTCACCGCCTTTGCTCCATCTCTTCATCTTCTTTGCAACATATTTTTTATCACATTTCATTTGGTTTAAACAGGCGTATGTCATTAAAGCTTCGGCCCTATGACTGACCCCTGTGGTGTGCCGCTGTGATCAGTATGCTCTCATGCCCATCTCACAGATCTGAGCTGGACTGCTAATTCCAGCTCTCCCTTCTACAGTACATGCAGAGAGACTGGAGGGAACCCTGTCAATCTGATGTCCCAGCAAACGCTCTTTACTGAGGAGCCATGAATGGACGAAGTATCAATGTTCAAGAGGCAGTGAACTTGTGGTGGAATTGATTTATTCATCTGTAAGTGTTCATATGTCCCAAGCATACATAAAATAGAGTTAACCGGTTGTCTGTAATCCACATTAATTGACAAGTATGAAACTGAAGACGGTGAAACTCAAACAACAGCAAAAGGACAAAAAAGGGCCTGATTATCTTCAAATGTGTTAATTATTTACATTGCAAAATAATAAACAAAAGCCTCATCATAGTCGCCTTTAACCTTCTGTCTTTCCCAGTGTAAACATTACTGCAAAGTCTTCATTGTTCGCCAGAAGCCAAGAGCTTGTAAAATAAAAAGAGGTCAGCACTAGAAAGCTTTCCATCATGTGTGCAGTGAATTAAACTCCTAGTGGTTGCTGCCTCAGGGTCAAAGGGAAAGTCTTCCTCTTTTAGTCAAAATAAGAGACAGGCAGGACTGCTTTGCTGTCATGTACAGTCAGACATGAGAGGAACCTCCACGAATATTACTTTGACAGAACAGAACATGGTTTTAGGCATGTTGAATCAAACCAGCAGAATTTAATCTACAAAAAACAATTAAAAAACTGTATGACAACCCAGTCTGTTTCTGAATGTTCCACAGCCCTATTCTGATTTTGAACTGAAAAGTTAATTCACAATTTGTGTCTTGGGACCATAGACTGGAAATATTGGGACACGGATATGCAGCTGACAAAAGTGCTGATAAAGTCTCAAACCATTAAATCAAGGAAAAGTAAGTCATTCACTTTTTAAAACAAATCAATTCAACTTACAGTAGACTACTGCCATCTTAAGGTTAAACCAATGCATTACAGATTGACTACTGAGTCAATCAGTGCCTTGCAAAGCCTAAGTCATGTCATTAAAAAACCTCTCAGAAAGTGAAAAGGGCTACTATTGAATCTAATATTTCACTCTATCTATTGATGTATATTAGGTTATTTACATAATAATAATAAATGTAATCTAATAATGTTATTTCACCCACAAATAGTGTGTAACGTTTTGTTGTAGGGGTGGAAACCTAAGGGTACCTCAGAATACGATACGCGATACAAAGATCACATTGATTATATCACGATATGACGATTATCGATATATTGGTCAGCAATATACCATATGCCAATATATGGCATACATAAAATAGAAAAATGTTAAGTGAAAAAATACACTTTATTTCATGATAAATGGAAAGGAGATGTGCAATGTAGCCATATATTAAGTATTGATACTAATAAAAAATAATAAAAAAAGTTTGAACGATTTTTATTTTTCCCCCAAAATCCATAAATGGCAAATGCATATTGATAATTGATCGCGGGAGAAAGTATCACGATATATCGAAAAATCGATATATATCTTCACCCTCTTGTTTTGTTGCCCCACATAAATGCTTTGGCATAAACCTAAACGATTCCATCTGTAATGTTTTGCATTTCAGAGCAGACTGAAGACACACACTCCTTCTAATTGTAAAACATGGCTTCTAGACAAAATTATATGGCAAAATAGAAACAAATGAAACATTTATAGGAGAAAACAATAAATCATATATAGATTAAACTTACAAAGTGAAAGTTGTTTTTGTTCACTTTACAAAAGAACACCGAACATAACTTCTGTGTCTGTAGATGCATTTCAATATTATAAAATATCATCAATAACTTACACACTTATTTCTTTCAATTTTTTTGTTTAAGACATTTCTTTCTTAAAGTGCTTACATACTCACAAACAAAAAGGCACAACCTAATTTAGGCCAAAATAAAGTAAGCCATAAAGATTCTTTACAGATGAAAAAGGCCGAATCAACACTGGAGAGACCACTTCCATAGTTTAATGTATAGTTTAGAATAGTGGTTCTCAAAGTGTGGTACGCGTACCACTAGGCTCCTCAGATCATTTGATCCAAACCGTGTGAGTAAATGGCAGAAGAAAGAGGGCAGCAGATTAAGCATAGCCTTTAACAAAAGTGCACCAGTGTCCAAACTTTCTGTGGACAAAGAAGGCCATCTCACCCCAGAATATAATGCACAGTGGTGAGTCAAGGCTTTGCATTTCAGAATGAATTGAACATTTTAATTGAATTATTTTAATTAGTACAGTAAAAGTTCAGTTTTTAGTTTTTTCCCTATATTTAAGTCTTACTGTTGAAACTGTAAAATGTTACAATAGCTGACCATATTAAATATACTTATTTCTGAATGAAACCTCTGCCTTGTTTTTGATGAATACTTAGGCCTACTACGCTACTGTATGGTGTTGGTCATTTGTGGTGGTACTTGGAGAGGCAAGTATTTTCTGAGGTGGTACTTGGGGTAAAAAGTTTGAGAACCACTGATTTAGAACAAACATTTATTCTGTTATTGTATTTAGTGAAGCTCAGCTAGAATCCACTGTGTGTGTTAAATGATCGAACAGGCAGACAAAAAAGATCGTCATCCGAGAATGGGAGATTCTTTAGGAGAGCATCTTCCAGTTTCTCTAAATAGTGTTGTTTGAATACGTTCTGATGACTTAAAGTACACAAAAGATTGTTTTGACATTTTGGTATTGATTTTTCACTGTTGACTGGTTCAAGGCCAGATTGAATATGCCGACTTGGGCTTGCGTCTCCAGACATTATGTCATTGTCGATTTGCTGACTGGTGCTCTCACTGTCCCAAGTGCAGCTGCTGTCATCAATCCCATCTCCATACTGCTGATCTCTGCCCATTTCCTTATTGACCATTTTGCTCTGAGTTTCACAAGTTTTCTCAGTGTTGTTGCTTAGCGTCAGGCAGCCCTTGGGGTTGGTAAGAATCTCCATTGCGTCATAATTTCCTTGGCTGAACTGAGTGAATGGCATAGACTCCGACATCGCCACCTCCTCTGACACAGTTTGAACTATGTTTAGGCTCCACAGGTCCGCAACTTGCCGTTTGTTTTCGTAATCAAAGTCAAGTGGAAGAGAGTCTTTATCACTGATGTCCATATCCATATCCATGTCTTCTTCCTCAGAGAGCTGGGTACTTTCAGATTGCCACTCTCCATCCCGGACCAAAATGGGTCCCTTTTCTGGCGACTCAAATATCACTCCTTTGGGTGGCAAAGGCAGGAGTTTGTGACCTGAGCAGTTATATCCAGACGAGCTGAGCTGGTTATCACTTTGCCTCGACATGTAGCTCCGAACTGACTCTGGAACCAAGAACTCATGTCGCTTTTTGTGTGGTAGTAAGACGGACAGTCCACCGGGCACACAGTGGCCCAGGATTGGCACTAGAGACTTGGGTTTGATCGCAGACACAAAGTCTTCCAGCTCTTGGTAGGAGGAGTGGTCCGAGTACGGCACTATATGGACATTCGGGTGGAAGGACACCAGAGGGCGGCTAGTCGGTAAAATGGCGAGAGTAGGGTGTTCGTTGTTACACTGCAGCACAGTATGGCGAGAGATCTGCGATTGGTTGACAACTCTGAAACGGCCCGCCCCTCGCTCGGTCGTGAAGACGTCAGGCAGCTCCAGAGCTCGCAGGGTTTCCATACGGTCCACACTCACTTCAACCCAACTCCGGAACTCCAGGGCCAGCTCCACCAGGAGACACTCCTTACCCAGCGCGTACAGGCCTGGAAATAACAAACGATAGAAGGTGTGTGTCTATGTTTGATGAAACAGTTGATGAAAACACATTGACTGACGGACTATCAAAAAGAGAAATTCTGGGATTCTCCAAATGGTTTAAAACGTCTGTACAATGCGAACAACGTAATAATAAGTTGTCCTAGATATTGTAGTGGCAAGGTTTGGAAAAGGCTAACATTAAAATAAAAATACTAATCATTCTAATACTGATGAAAATATAAATCAAAACCAAAGAATTTAGTTGTCTTTTTCTTTTAAATAAACAAATGTGAGTGAGGTTGCTTAAAAAACATGGGTGCACCAGATTAAGCACTATGGTATTTGTAGTCATTCCCCATAACAAAAACAATACATTATATAAGTTAGCGATATGTAAATGTATTGTGATAATAATGTAGTTATTTCCTCCTCCCCATGTGTTGTGTGAATAACATCCATCCATCCATCCATTTTCTACCCTTTAATCCATTTCTGGGTCAGGGGGGTGGCAGTCAGAGATGCCACCCAAGTCTCATAGCACCAGCCCCTCACTGACCCTCTGCAGGTGGTGAGTCCACAGGAGGACAGCTGCTCTCTGAGTGTGAGCATAGCCTTGATCTTTCAGTGGGGGCTTTGGGCAAAGTGGGGTTAAGTGTCTTGCCCAAGGACACAACGACAGCAGTCATCAGTGGGAGTTGGTGGAGAAGGTGCAGAGGTGGGAATAACAGGTTTGAGAAATTAAGCTGCAGACATTGATTACTCTAAACCATAAACAATGTATATATTATTATTATATAAATAGATTAGGATTAAGATGAAGAGATCCTTTATTCGTCCCACAATGGGGAAATTTAAGTGTTGCATCACAAGTTATAGAACAGTGGGAATGAGGAGCACACAGCACAAGTTAAGTGAATGATAACTTTGCTAATTAAATTTAAAAAAACTAACTAGCATCAAATAACAAGTATATAATCTCTATCCTTATCATAATAATAAAGAAGTATAAAAAAATTAGGCAAACGAAGAGGTTAAAAGTACTATGTATTCTAGTACAAGCAATATGTAGTTATCTGTTGGCATCTGTACATGTTTGTTGTATGTTTACATCTGTACATGTTAGTAGCAGTATGTACATGTTAGCAGCAGTATGTTTACATCTGTGTTAGCACATCTGTACATTAGCAGCAGTATGTTTACATATGTACATTAGCAGCATGAGGCTCTGAGACACATCGACTCATTAAAGTGAGTGACGTGTGGTTATTGCACATTCTGATATTAGTTAAGGATATTGCATCAATGCATGACACGTGGGATGAGGTTGGCAGTGTGTATCCATTAGTCCAAATATAAATATATGCCCTAAATTCATTTAAATTACCTATGATAACGTTGTGGTCTGGGTGGTTGCGGATGATCTCTTTGATTTGCTGAGTGGCTGTCTTCCTGGAGGGGAGGGTGCGATTAGGGTCACAGTTGGTGTTGTCCAGATACAGGACATCAATAGTTGTGTTTGTTCTCAGTCCAGGCTCTCGCAGCATGGACGGAGTGTAGCGAAAATCACCTGAAAAGAACAATTCCGGATTGCCATCAGCTGATTTACATGTATGGTCTCGCTCTCAGAATTCACTGGTACTAGACACTGACCAGTGTAGAGAATCGAGCCAAAGTATCCTTCAAATAGAAACATGACAGATCCGGGACAGTGGTTTGCATCGATCAACGTCACAGTCATTGTCTCTTTTCTGATGTCGTCCAGCGGCAGCAGGTGAGGCTCACCGAGCTCCAGGGGGTGAATCCACTGCTCTTTCACCTACAAAATCACTAACAACCTTTTACAGACTATAAGCAATACTTTTCAAACTTCAAACAAAAGCAGAGAAGAGCATGCATTTGCTGGCATACTAATATTGAATTTTCCGAGGAAGTGGACCACTGGATCACTGCAATTTGTCATGTTACTCATTTGAAGCAGAGAATGAGGGATGAGAAATAGAGCTATACAGAGTATTTTCTGCGATTGCAAATGGCGGATGTCCCTGATTTTTTGTCTTAGAAGTACAAAAGGTATTGGGATAAACAGCAGGATAAAGCACCTTCTTACACATGGTAGATTGGACCCCAAATGACTTCTGGCAAACTTCAAACAGGATTTCTTATGGTCTTACTTAGTTTTCCCATGTACAGATTTTCCCAGCTCAACTGCAGTACTTCACAGCCCTTCCAGAGTCATCCTTGGGTACTTGGTAGCCTTTCTGACCCGTTTAAGACAAAAGCTGCATGAATACTTGTGCAGGCTCTACTTTTTAACGCTTCCATTTTTGAAAAAATAGAATCATTTTACCTGCACTTCAGAGTTATCTGTTGTTTGTGAAAAAATCTTCCCTACTTCCCCCTTCAGAGTATTGAAATATTGAGCTGTTGCACCTTTAACTTGAGCTGAAGCAGAGTGGCTGTGACCGGGGAGCAGTAGATGGGTTTGTTTGTCCATGTGGAGGACAGTCCCACAGTATGGTCACTGTGCATGTGGGACAGGAAGAACAGGCGACTCCCAGGACATTTACGGATCTGCCAGAAGTCCACAGCCAGAGGAGTGTGTGGGATTACTTTTCCATTCATGTTGTCTCCTGTGCATCAGACAGACATTTAGAACTATTCAGATTATGAGCACACATACTACAATGCAACAAAAACAATGTGAACTGTGAAACATTATTTCTTATTTAGTTTTATAAAGGTCTGTCATAATAATACATTCTGGATGATATATTTCTATTGCTAAAAGAGAAAGAGTTATAGACAACTATTTTATGTAGTTAGTAATTTAGTAATCAATTATCATTTTTAAGCGGAGCAGAGATACTATGACTTCGACCTATGACTGCGGAATGATATAAAAATGCATTATGAACCAAACAACCCATTGTGTAACAAGCATGGATCTATGGCGCTAAAGTTGACAGCGGCAACAAGGACGAGTTCGGCAAAAATGTGGAGGTGTCCGATTAATAATAATGGTAACAACTAGTTCATCTCTACGAAGATGTTCTCCAAGGGTGTCACATCACTTTAACTTTGTGTTGGTCAAATCAAATGTTACACACACAAAAAACTACTGGAAAGAATAATTGACAAACTAAACAATTATAAAAAATAATTACTACCATTATGTCTTTATCTTAATAAGAGCATGGGCAGGAAAAACATCAGAATTAAGTCGTAGTCTAGAACAAAAATGCACAGACGATATATTGCGCTAGAAAACATTGTGGGATCCGTTACAGAACAGGCCTAGTATGACAACAATCATGCCTGTGTGTGTGTGTGTGTGTGTTTTGTGTAGCAGATAGCAGATGCTAGCTCACAGCACATATCTCAGCACACTGTATCCGTTCTTACGTTACCGGAGATCATCAGATGGACGCAGTCTTTGTCCACGATGCGTCTCCACATGTGCGCACTTTTACATGCGCAGCTGACAACATGTTGAGCGCTGTTTTCTGGTTCAAATGCTGTGTTTCCTCCGAGTCTGCTTCTGCTGTTTTAGAGGAGTTTGTTGATGGATGCTGCCCCCTGCTGGTGAGACAGAACAGCTGCAATGTAGCTACACCTTCCTTGTCCTTCCTTGAACTTCTTGTAAAAAAGGGACCACGATTAATTCGAGCATTAAATGTTTGTTTGAGGAAAATAAAAGGCAGGAAAGGAAAGAGGTATGTTGGGTTGCATCTTTTTTATTATTATTATTATTATTATTTCCTGAATAATGATTCAATTTCTTGTCTCTAAATTTAAGAAGGCTTAAATTGCGCTCGTCCGTCTGACACATTGCAAGAGTGGCATTGGAGGCTAAAATGTCTTCACCCCCTTGGCGCCAAATTTAAGACCTGTCGTATTGAAAGAGACGAACACACCATAAGAGGGCAGCAGAGGAAAATATAAAATTGCTGTTACCCATGGATCTATATTACCTAGCAACGTCATTTGATAGAATAACCATTATGATTGGGGACCAGACATCGCATTGGTGAGGGGAGAGGGGTGGTCCATAAATATGTAGTCAATTAAATGACACGTTAAAATCCTAAAATAACGTACAAAGCAGATACTAGAGACTTTATTTATTAACTACGATTTTTGTATGGACAATTTCATTCTCTCAAATAGGGCTACAACTATAAACAGTTTTGATAATCGATTAGTTGGCTGATTATTGTTTTGCTTATTTGTTTGAATCCCAAAAGGTCAGTGAGTATGTGGGTGTTAATACATTTGTCCAAAACAAGAATGTTCATGATGCCTCTGGATAACATCATGGATTCAAGTCTTGCTTAAAACACATTAGATTGTTTGATAAAAAATACACATTCACTGTTTTTATGTTTAGTTTAGTTTTGTATTGGCAATCACACAATTATCAGTCATAAAATGTCCTCTCAAGACATTTGAGTAACGGTCCAAATTAATAAATTAATAAATTATGATTTAAATAATCAATTAATTGTGTTTAATCCTTTAACTTGTTTCAGCCTCTCACATGATTTGTGGAGACTTTACTCTATAATCCACATTTCATTCAGTATTAGTGTGAATGAGGGGGTTGGGGCTGTTTACCAAATGGGAGCGTTGCCATGGTGACTCTGTCATTCATTACCACCCCCTAACACTTTCTATACTGCACACTCTCTGGATTACACTTGTCACAACTCCCAGCATGCACCTCTGCCCAGTCTGGAGTAGAAGCAGTCATCACAATCATTATTAAGTATCGATTATCATTCACAGAAACATCTCATGGAGAAAGGGGAACACTGAAATAAGGACATCATCGTGTGTAATAATATGACTCAGCCGGTCGCCATCTCACTGTGTGCATATTATGAAGGGACAAAAGAGGCAAATATAAGTCAATAATGTAAGTCAATTAAAATTAAAATTTAGCCAGTTTGTTACAAGGTGTTGTGAGTAATTTAAAATGGAGCTCAAACATTATACTTTAGAATAGCCAATGAAAGACAGAAACCAATTTGTTTTTTAACTACATGTTATGATATTTGTGTGATACTTATAGGGAGTAATTATGTTTAGTAATTATTATTTTTTAACATGATAATACATTTCAAATACATCTCACACAAAATATGTCATTTTGCAGCAGGGTTACAAATAGGACAACTGTGAACACTAATCAGAGAGCACACGCCGACTCCATTAATCAGGCCTCCTGTGGCAGAATGAGAATTATATTTTTCTATTTTCTACTCATGACCCGAAGGTGCTTGTAAACAATCAATTTGAAAATGTAAGTGAAATTGTAATGCAAAAAAAGATGATAAATGTCATACACAAACATGAAATCCATCCAATCCAAAGAACATTCTCATTCATTTAGATTTTATGTTCATTTGTTGTTTGTTTTCTTCTTTTTCTTATTGAAAGAAAGAACCGGATCTATTATATGTTATTAATTTGCTAACCTTCACATATTCATGGAAGTGTGTATTCGTCAGTAAATGTCACACTTTCACTTGTGGAGAAATCAAAAAGTTCAACACACTCTAAAGACCCTGATTTTTAAAGAGAGCGTGAGTATTTCAATTCATCCATTTCAACCAAACCTGTAAATATATATCCCAGTAAAGATTAAAAGACATAATGTGTAAAAACTGACATTTACAGGCCAACTTTAAAGAGGGTTTGCCAACAGCAAAGATGGCTTTATTCATGTGGTGGTAGAAATGTTTTTCACATTCCATTTCAAAGATAATTTGCTTGTCTCTAAAAGAACCACATCCTGTTTTAAGACAGAAAATATTTACTAAAGTCAAGATACACTTTGACACTTACCGGAGGTGAGAGGATGACTGGTTTTCTGTCAGGCTGTTACTATGCCCTGAAAACAATATTCTGTCATATCCATCAGCAGCAGCAGCAGCAGCAGCAGCAGCAGCAGTGGTATCAGAGTGTGTGTTTATCATATGTGTGATGAGGACAGATGGCAGCACAGTCTGGGACCTGCCACTGCTCATCTACAGAACAGCTTCACACCATTTTGTTTTTTACACTTTTACTGATCCTCACAATCTGACATCCCCTCTAATACTAATAATTAATAGGATTTACCAGCGAATGCAACATATGTCAAGTTAATTTTAGATATGGATCATGAGTTCAGTTGAGTTCCAGAAAAAAATAATACAAATGCAATTAAAAGTGTACATACATGGTGAGAGACATACACCTTCATTTTCTCCAGTTCCGTTATGGCTTATGGCTCCTTTATGACATTAAGGATGAAGCAACTTATGCATGTGTACAACCCTCCACCAGGAACTTTAAAAGACTCATGTACAATATATAGCATCATTTTCTTTTTTCTAACCATTTGACAGAGATAATGGCTACATTCTGTTTTCTACATTCATGTCAGTATTGTATTGCCCATGATTACGTCAATCCTCTTTCCAACAAGCGTAATTAACAGCAGGCCTATGCATTTACTTCATGCACATGCAAAGTTAGCTATATGACGACTATAATCTGTGGGATAAAGCTATTCTAGTGCACTATTGCATGTTTTTTTTTTTCTGAAGCGATTATGCATATAAGTATGAGGGTCGGGGAAATGTAGCACAGAGAATTTTCTGCCTGCAGCGCGATAAAGAATAAATGTGCTCTGTAACGCACAAATGAACCTGTGTTATTATTTCATGTGGGACTAACCCTGACAATTCTGTGTGTTGTTTGTGACCCAATTCTCCTGCCCCATATTTAGCTACTGTGTCGTTCTCTTGTCTATATGTCTCTCACAACACAGTGACAGATCATGCATTAAACATTACAGATCCACAAAACATTGCACATGTCTTTATAAACTGGATCGTCCTTATCCCTTTTTTCAAAATCACTATCTATTGATTTGTAGTCACACAGCTTTGCAGCCTGCAGCCGTCTGACTCAACACATTTGTGGCGAGGAGGTTGTCCTGTGTGTTTGTTGTACCACACCACGTTCCGGGGCAGGAGCAGGCTGCAGAGGCTGGCTACAGAAGACTCAAGTGCTCTATTGCCCAGGCTGTTATAAAGCTAACTTCTGCCAAATGATGATGTAGGATGACTGCAGTCGACAGCAGCAGGATTGCAGGAGAAGTTTAGGACTGGCTCATTTAGGTCACTGGTTCTCTCTGTGCACCCCATATCCAGCATAGACAGGGCACAAGTACCAGCTGCTAGGGGAGACTCCACCATTATCTTTGTGAAAAAAAATGAAAATAGTGCATTTATAGTGCAGGGTTATTCTTTTTCTTTTAATCTTTTTTGCAGACATCAAGGATCGAACGTTTAATTTTATGTTCACATTTTCTGAATCAAATTAGTTGATGCTGCCCTAAAACTGGACCATTGATAAGAAAGTATTATGATTATGCTGACGGATAGACTAAGTATTGTCATTATTAAGCTTTCTGGGTTCATTGTTAGAATGAATGATATGGATCTAAAAGGATGGATAGCGCACATGAAACACTTACTATCATTTTCTTTCCATTTAACAATTGAAAATAATTGTGTGTAGCCCCTTTAAAACTTGTGAGCTGCATACCCCTGGTTGAGAAACACTGATCATCCCTTTTGACACTGGTGCAGTCCCATATCTTTTTGGGACATCAGTGAAAAGCATTGGAGGATGTAAGTATTGTGTTAAAACTTGACATTTGTTCTATATTGGGCATCATATCATTATGTCCCTTTACAGAGGTTGGTGTTTTCCAAATGTTTCAAGCGTTAAATCTTGTTTTTTTTGTTTTCAGCCCACTTCATCCTCAAACCGTGGTTTTCTTTGTTTTGGTTTGACACTTATGGAGGCCCAAGTACCCACATGAACACTATTATATCACACAACGGCAGGATTGCAGTCTCAAGATGTTGTTTACTTCACAGTTAGGCGCCCAAGCTGTTTTTTCAACTGTAATTTTAAAACTTTTTGAACACGCACTTTTGTGTCTAAACATCCACATTTTGGTGACATTGATGTAAAACAACTTTGTTCTAATTGGGCCAAGCAAAAAATATGTTATACCAAATTCCCTTATGAAGAAAAACAAAACAGAAAGTAGATAAAAGAATGTTGTTTACAGCTGCAGGATACGTGAGGCACTCAATTACAGAACCACATTAGGTAAGAGCAGTTCACAATCCTTATTATGCAGCATTTACATGTTCTAGTCCCAGGGCATTAAAGTCACATCTGCTTCTCCAACCTGGCAGCTCCACAACAGGACTACATGGCTCCCATGGGCCTGAAATCCTTGAAAATACTAGTTCAACAATGAATTTTCATCTTGTGTTAACGAGCACTGCCAAACAGATCAGTTCCAAGAAGAAGAAATGCACTGGCAGTTTTTCCTGAGCTGAGTAGAACTTTTATTGAGGATGGGACATACTTGTCTCTCATATATT